CTTGGGACAAGGACCTGGAGTGCCAGGACAAGGAGGAACSGTGTCAGACTGACAGAGGGCAGGGAATTGTCACAGGTTGCTCAGACAAGCTGTGGCTGCCCCAYCCCTGGAAGTTTTCAAGGTCCATTTGGAAGGGGCTTGGAGCAACCTGGTGCTGAAGCTCCAGCGCCATGGGATGTACCTCATCCTACCAGACCTCCCTGCCTTGCACATCTGTGGTGCTCCTCAGCACCACGTTATTCCTGGGTTATCCCCAGAGCCAGTCTGGAGAAGGTTCACGTGAACTTTCTGCAAGCTTGTCTTTGCTTTGCACAACAGAGCACCCAAACACTGGTCACTTCTTTTAAAATCTGTGATACTCTGCAGGCAACATTGTCCAAACACTCAGAGAACCAGRAGGTGACAGCACAGGGACACCACAGAGCCACCCGCAGGTGTTGGCATATTGCACCTCTTAATTTTCATTAGAAATACTCGAATGGCACTCAAATGACAGACAGACAGTGGAGAGGGAAGGCCAGAAAAAGTCTAAAACATGTTTCTCCCCATTAATTTAAAGTTTGGGAAAGGAAGTCCATCATTGCTTGCTCCCTTTGTGGGGAGAGCCCTGTTCCTCTGCTGAAGCTGAAGCCARGCAAGCAGAACAGCCTCCCTGATAAATACAGAACCCCAAACACACAAATACAGACCTTCCTCCACAGCTCAGCTCCTTCCTGACTGACATCCCACATTTCACTGTGCCTTGGGCAGAAATTRKGATTTAGGGAAASCCATRYYGGGCATGGGCTGTGCCRRGTCTTCTCCCACCCCAACCCYACTGCAACYGGCAGCCACTTGCCAGGATGAGGGRGGAGGGTRTGSATGARCCTGAGGAGAAAATGTGGGACAGAGTAAGAAAGGGAAAACGCTTATCACAGATCATGATCCCCATCCCCAAGGTCAAGCTGTGGGAAGGGCTCAGTGGGGACCGTGACTCATCCGGAGGGCTCTGGCCATAGGCAGCTCACGGGATGGGACTGGGCACTGCTGGCACATCGCATCCCGGCCATCCTGCAGCGTTTTTCCAGCCCCACTGCACCACTGCCGTGGCACATGTGCCCTGAACAGGTATTTGGGGCAGTCCAGGAGCGGGCACCTGAGCCCAGACAAGTGGGCTCTGTAGCCAGGGACATGATGGGGCTTGGGAAACCAAATCTGGGAGTGGGYGGCAGAGGGAAGAGGCAGCAAATCCAGCAGGAAGCTCCCTTGGCACTTGGCAACCCCTCATCCCCACTCTGGCCTGCCAGGCTGCAGGGACAGGACAGAAACTGRGCTCGAGTGGAGGCTGAGCTGGAGCTGACTTCTCCACAAGGAACAACTGTAAAATGAAGGAGCACAGGCAGCCTCTCCCTCATGGGCTGTGATGCTGGCATGTTCCTGGTGGTACAAACCCACTGCTTCATYGATTCCTCAGCATTCCCAGCTGCAGAGCAGAGCAAGACAGTGCCTGTGCTCCTCCCTCTCCACACTGATTCCCAAACTAGTGGATAAATTAAAACGGCCCAATAAAACTGACCGAAACAAACACTTCCTCAGGGATTAAACCAAACCCAAAATGCCAACATGATAAGCTGTGACCCACACCACTGGAGATGCTCCATTCATGTCTGACCCTACAAGTCACCCCCAGGTTTGGGTGGGAATGGGCAAGGCAGAGCTTCTGTTTCCCATTTTGGAGGGATAGAGTGTGACCCATAAAGAGGGCATTGACACAAGCTGCTTGCAGGAGGGGAGCTGGGCTCAGGAAAGGGTGAGGTGCCTGTTCCATGGCTGCTTCTAAAGTGAGGACATCGTCATGCAGGGTGGGAGCAGGGGATGGTCACTGCCTGCTCAGTGTGGCCCAGCTGCTGCTCCTCATGGCCAGCCAGGGACCACAGGGGAGGGTCCCAGGGGCCTCCTGAGAGAACGCTGAGGCTGATGCCTGCCAGTGACTTCTCAGGGTCCCTGTGACATCCATGACTGGAGTCTCTCTCCAATGCAAGATGTGTTTGTTCAATCCTGCAGCTAGCCCTGAACACCCACAGGATCCACTCGGATCCGTGGCTCGGCGGGGCCAATTTCAATCTGGGATAGAGCAGCTACCAAGGCAAGGCCAGGAGCAGGGTGTGGGGAGTTTCAGTGCGGCATGGGATGCAGGATCGTGGTGTGGGATGTGGGAGTCTGATGGAGCTGTAGGCTTTGAACCTGGGGTGCTTCAGGCTCTGGCCCTGAGGGGAATCGGGTTTTGGAGCTGGAGGTGTGTCAGGCTCCAATCTGGTGGAGGTCAAACTCTGGGCTGTCCCCATTTGCCCTGGTCACTCTCCTCTTCCTACGTGGCTGCTCTCAAGAAAAAYCCTAATGCTTACTAATTAATTAATTGTAACTAATTCATCTACCGCACACTGTTATTTCCAGAGCTCTCACGCAGCTCCCCTCGGTGCCTTGCTGGGGGCCAGAACACAAAGCACCCCCCAGCCCTTACGGTGCCCCTGTAGAGCACCGGGGGTTCCCACACCAGGAAATCCTGGAGTGTTCTGGGACTGAAGGTGAAGCAGGACGKGCCTGCTGTGGGACCAGCCCACAGRGTCACCCCCACACCCCACTGCATTTCACTGCCCCAGAGCACGCTGCCGCTGTGAACACGGGAGGCCCCACCGGGGAACCCTATCGCTGGCCGGTCCCAAACACCGGGAAACTCCCTAAACTTCGGACACGGCACGCRGGGACCGCCCGGCTCCCGCCATGACCCTCAAACCCGCGGGGTCGGGSCACCCCACGGTGCCGCTCGACCCCCGAGCCCCCGAGCATCCCTCCCCCGCRGGGACCCTCCGTGCGCCGCTCCCTCCTCCCGCAACAGGTCAGGGCCCCCCGCCCCGCGCCCTCCCCGCAACTTTCCCGCAGGAGAAAGTTTGCGCGCGGCCACGGGGAAAGTTCTCGGGGGCTTTCATGGGGAGGGGCGGCCCCGAGCACGGAGCCGGGACCCCCCCGTCCTCCTCCGTGCTCCCGGTCCCTCCCGCCGCCATCGCTCCCGTCTCCGTCGCGCGGGGCAGGAGGGCGGCGACATCCCGGTGTCCCCGCTGTTGTACCCCCCTTTGGGGGCGGAGGGGGGGTGTGGGTGGGCTTTAGGGGCACGGCGGGGGCCGGTGAGGACTCACCGGCGGCTCCACGGGGCGGCGGCGGCGGCGGCTCCGGGCCCGGCGCTGGGTGCGCAGGAAGGAAGAAGGAGGGAATGAGGCAGGGCTGACGTGAAGGGATGCAAAGCAGCTCCTCCTAACTCGCCCGCCCTTCATCTTCCTCCCCCTCCTCAACTTACCCGACCACCGCGAACCGCCCCCCCCCCCGGTTCAGCAGCATCCTCCACCGGAGCCGGGGCTGCCCTCGGTACCAGTTGGGGGGGCCAGAGGTGGGGGGAATGGGGGTGGGAGTGGTCGATGAGGACCCTATGCCCACACTGTCCCTRCAYRATGTCCCCTCCAGCAGCACAGGGGRAATTTTCTACCTCACCTTCATTTTGGGGGGCTGTGACCCCCTAGAATGATGCTGGGGGGGACAACCTTTTCAAGGGAGCCTATCTCAGCTAGGCATTGCTCTTCTGCTCTACGGTGGTGAGAAAGGTCATGTGCACCCCAAAAAGCTTGTAGGGATTGATGGCAAGATCCCCCTCTCTTCAAAAACGGGATGAGAGGAGCTAGGGGTGTTACAGGAACTGGAGGAGTTTGGGGGGGATGCTGTTCACCTGACACAAAGAGGTGGAGGCAGAGGCCAGGAGTAGGGTGGCAGGAGTAGGGTGGCAGGAGGTGGCCAGCTCCCAAAGGAAGGAAGTGAGATGGGATGTGGTGCAGGAAGAGGAGCAGGTGGTTCAAGAACTGGAGGGTCTGGAGGGGAGGTGCTGTTGGCTCCCCCAGGAAGGTGCAGAAAGGGGTTGAGCTGTGTTTGTGGGGATGTGGTGGCAGGAGGCAGCTGGTCCCCAAAGGGAGGGATGGAGGGGAGATGAGATGTGGGAAGGAGAGTAGGTGGCAACAGCCAAGGATCTGCAGGCTGCTGGCCCTGGGTCCCTTCGTGAGGAGGAGGAGAGAGGAAGAGGAGGATGAGGGTCTTCTCCCCATGGAAGAAGGAGCATGCAGAGGCAGCTGGGATTTGACTGGTGTGTCGGGAGATTCTCATCTCCATGGAAGCAGGTGGCSCCGGCCGGACTAATCGCAGTAGAGTTTGTCTCCACACGCAGCCCTTTGTCTGGGCTTACTTCTGCTTTTCTGGGTTTTTTTTTTGTGTTCTTGGTGAAAACTGAGCTCCCTGCTTCGTCCCTGCTGCCACTGCCGGTGCTCACATTGCCCACGCCTGTCAGGGGGCTGCCCAGCATCCCACCATGTCCTTGCTGCTGCCCACCAGCCCAGCCTGGAGCCTTCTGGAGACCGGACCCGACCGGCGTCACCGGTCCCCAAAGTGCCACTTCCCTCCCCACATTCCCAGCCCGGCYTCGCCCCGCACGTGGCCTGCAAACGGCTCTGCCTGCACAAATATTTGCCAATACTGACGGGGAGAGACAAAGCACAGGGAGACTGACTCATTTGAKTTCCCGTAGGTGCCCCAGCCGAGGGGGTATGCCTGGAGCTGGCACCTGGGGGGGCACAGAGCGGGGGCATGGAGCAGGACACAGGGTGGGACACGGAACGGGGAACAAAGCAGGGCACAGAGCGGGATAGAGAACAGGGAACAGGGTAGGACACAGAGCGGGGCACAAAGCGGGGTGCACGGTGTGGCACGGCGCGGGCCGGGGAGCGGGAACGGGAGCGGGAATGGGAACGGGAGCGGGAACAGGAATAGGAACGGGCCGGCCCAGCCCCGGCACCTCCGGCTGTCACGGACCAGCTGCCCGGCCGCCTCAGCCAATCAGGGCGCGCCTTCAGCAGGCCGCTGCCTCAGCCAATCAGAARGGGTAAGTTCGAAACTGCAGCCGCCTCAGCCAATGAGAACGCGCGGTTTGCTGCTCCCGGTCACTCCGCGACTCTTCCCTTTCCCTCTCCCCGTTCCTCCCAGCCCACCGAGCCGCCTACTGACCCTTCTCTTCCTGCCCTCGATGTCCCCTGTCGTGCCCGGAGGTCGCGCCGGCCCCGAGGAACCGTTTCCGTGCCCTCCGGGTAAGGGCCCGTGGCTAGCCTCTGGTGCCACGCGGGATTGCCCCGCCCTTTTCTCACACTGGCCAGCGGAGGTCGTTATTGCGGGTCCTGGTCGGTGTGGATCCGCGCTGGGGGCGAGCGGGACCGGGCAAGGGCCGGTGAGCTCTGACCCCGCCGGTGCCCACGCGCACGCCCCCTCCGGGCAGRCAGAGCCGCTGGGCCTTTAAGAGAGGGCGTGGCCTCGCTCGTAGCCCCGCCCCTGCGCRCCGCTCCCGTCCCGGCGGGGCTGGTGCGCCCCCTGGCGGCGCAGGCGGGGAGCAGCGGCGGGTCCCGGTGGTCCCGGTGGTCCCGGCGCGGGCAGCGGCGGCCGCATCCCTGCTCTTGACCTGCCCGTCTGCTCCACCGGGCTGGGAGGAACAGTCGTAACGCCCCGGCAGCAGGCCCCGGTGCAGGAGCGGCTTTGATCGTCCCCCCGAGCCCGGTTCCAGCGCCCCGGCGTTTCCGCAGGGTCACCGCGGGGGTCAGACCACCGGAGCCGGGCCGTAGCGCCGTCGCCGCTGCGCTTCCGGGGCAGCCGAGGGGTTTCCTGCGGTGGATCTGCGGCCGCGGTGCTGCTCCCGGTGCTGCTCCCGGCCCGGCCCGGTCCGGCCCAGCCCGACGCGCCGCCGGGATGATCAACGCCATCCTGGTGTTCAACAACCACGGGAAGCCGAGGCTTGTCCGCTTCTACCAGCACCTGGTGCGCACCGGGGCCGGGAGCGGGTCGGGGCCGCCGCTGGGGCTGTGGCAGCGGGTGCCTGAGCACGGTGTGGAACCGGGACCGGGACCGGTGCGGGGCTGAGGGCGTCGTGGGGGTGGATGGGGCTGGRSCGGTCCCTGTGAGGTGGGGGAGCCCTGCCGGTCCCTGTGAGGTGGGGGAGCCCTGCCGGTCCCTGCTCGCGTCCCTCAGGATGCCCGGATCACCCAGGGGTGGCCCCGGGCGTGGCCCGTCACCCGAAGCCGCGGGCTCACGGCCTCCCTGGGTCAGCAGAGGACAGCTGGGTGCCATGTGGGTGCCATGGATGGGAAGTGCATCCATGGGTGCCCCCCACCCTCTCCTCCTGGCAGGCGGAAGAGGTCCAGCAGCAGATCATCCGGGACACCTTCCACCTGGTGCTGAAGCGGGATGACCACATCTGCAACTTCCTGGAGTGCGGCAGGTACTGACCAGCGAGGGGCTGTGCCAGGCTGTCCCCTCATGCTGYGTAGCACCTGCGTGTCCCCCAGAGCCCTTCAGCTCTCTCCATCTCCCCACAGCCTGTTTGGCGGCTCAGACTACAAGCTGATCTACCGGCACTACGCCACGCTGTACTTYGTGTTCTGCGTGGACTCCTCGGAGAGCGAGCTGGGCATCCTGGACCTCATCCAGGTGCGTCCCTGCACAGCCCCGTTCCCTGCACACAGCCCAGCCCTGACCTCATTCAGGGACATTTCTTACCTGTGGCATCCCTGTGCCAGCCCTTCTGAAAGGCCTGAGAAGCTGCTCGGGGCCATGGTGGGGAGGGGGGCCACACGAACTGCTTGAGCTTCCACATGGCTTCTTCACCTGTGAGCAGCAGGGAAGTCAATCTGAGTGAATGTCTTTTAAAAATAGAAGCATAGAATCATTTAGTATGGAAAAGTCCCTTAGGAACATCAAGTCCAATCATTAATCCTAGAATCGTGGAATCCCAGGTTGGAAGGGACCTCAGGGATTGTCTGGTCCAACCTTTTTTGGCAAAGCACAGCCTAGAAAAGGCCCAGCCCCCTGGCACCTGAAAAGTGCTCAGTGCTGGGGAATCCCCCACTTCCCCTGGGAGATTATTCAATGTCTGTTTTCTTTGGAAAAAAAAATACTCTTGTGCCTTATTGGAAGGCAGATTATTGGAATCTCCCCAAGAGGAACTTGTACCCATCACTCCATGTCTTTCCATGTGACTCCTTGTACGAAGGGAGTTTCCAGCTTTGTAGCCACCCTTTAAACACCAGCACATGGGGGGAAGGTCCCCCTGATTCCCCTTGGCACCAGGCTGAGCCCCTTCCCAGCTCCTTCAGCTGCTCCTGGTGCTCCAGCCCCTTCCCCAGTTCCATTCCCTGCCCTGGACATGCTCCAGCCTCTCCARGTSTCTYTGTTGGGGGAGGCCCCCAGGTGCCCCCAGCACTGGAGGTGCCCCAGCAATGCCATCTCAGTGGACAGGCACTGCCCTGGGCCTGTGCACACACTGGGACTGACAAAGCCATGTGCCATTGGCCTCTTACCCACCYGGGCTCATGTTCAGACACAGTCACCAGCATCCCCAGGTCCTTTTCCAGCTTTCCAGTCACTGTCCCCTGCCTGGAGTGTTCCATGGGGTTGGCGAGACCGCCTTGCCTGGTCTCTGTGCTGACCATCCCTTCTCCTGCCCCAGGTGTTTGTGGAGACGCTGGACAAGTGCTTTGAGAATGTCTGTGARCTGGACCTCATCTTCCACATGGACAAGGTGGGTGGTGGACTCTGGGCTGCTCCAGAGCCAGCATTTCTTGGGCTGGGGCTCACCAAGAGACTGTGGGGATGGCAGGGGTTACGTTGGGAGGGATTGAGATCCTGTGAGGGAAGCTTTCAGCCTGTGCTGTTTGAAAGCCCCCTGGGGAGGGGTCTGTGTTCCACAGCCAGTGCTGGTGCTGCTGGGCACTCTGGCCTGGTGCTGGGGCATTCTGCCTCTGCTCCAGGACGTGACACCCTGTGGGAGTCGTTAACAGTTTACTACAGCTGCAGGAAAATAAAAGGGCAAGAACAATGGGAGTGTTTGGAATTCAAAGTGCTGGGTAAACTTTGATTTGARCCACAGCCTGTAATGTTTCCTCTTGAGCTGGACCGAGTTCCTGGGTGGAAACTCGTCCCCTTTGATCATCTGCTGGGTCACGAGGCTGGAGATAGCTGGGAATAGATAGCCAGGAATAGGCTTGGAGTAAGGAGAGGTTTGGCTGCGGGTGCTGGGCTTGCAATGCTGCTGATCAAGATTTTCTTGCTTTGCTGAAGACAAAAACATGTCAACAAAAAAGAGCAGTGGGAAAAAAAAGTGTAAAATGCCCCCTTCCTGTTGGTGATTCCAGCTGGGGCACTGGCAGGGAAGGGGAATGAGCAGGTCAGGGGGGGTCTCTGCATTACCAGCTACTGAGGCTGGGCTTCAGTTTYACTGTTTGCCCGGCTGTAAACTTTACAAAATGCCACAACCTGATTATCTTGGCAGCAAAATTGTTTATCAAAGCATTTATCCAAGGAGGGAGGAGCACTGAGCAGCTGCAGGAGAAGTTTTGGCAGCTGCCAAAACTCTCAGGTCACCTCTGCCCACAGCTGGGGAAGGATATGCTCGTGGGTACTGACTCTGTGGCATGACCAGGACCCAGCAGCTTTTCAGTCAGCCTTACTCTCATCTTTACACAGCTTTACACTCAGTTTACACTGAGCCTTATGGCCAACACACAGCCCTTGAGCAGGGTACACCATTGTCAGCTTTGCCAGCAGTAGCGGGATCACCCTTCCTCTGACCTCTCCTGCCTGAAAAAAAGTTTTCAGGAGACAGGAATCGGGGGGTTCAGATAGTGGAAACCCCAGCTCAGTCACTGCAGGCTCTCCCAGCCCTGTTTACTTCCCATCTGATACTCCTGCTGCTTCCCAGCTTTGACTGGAGTCTTGGCCACTATCACTTGGTCCTCTGGTCTCTTTCTATATGTGGCACGTGTTTGTTTCTCGGATGTGCTGGTGGTCCTGTGCTTGCAGAGGGACAGTGTTTGGTGTGCTGGACATGTGCTGGTGTGTCGTGCTGGGCCCTGGTTGCCCCTCTGGGGTGTCCGGGCAGGCCATGAGTGTTTCCCAAGCTGTAAATGTGTCCCCAGGCAAGGGCTGGCCATGAGTGTCCCAGCAGAGCAGGGGCTGGCAGGGGCTCAGGTGCAACTTTGGCTGCATTCTGTGGTTTTTCTCTTTGGCTTAAGMTCCACCTTGCACTACCCGCAGCACAAAGGCCATGGGACCTGAGCTGTGACAGGTCTGGGCTCTTACTTCTGCCATGGGCAGATGGAGGGGGACATTGATAGGGTCCCAGTGGCACCAGTGCTTTCAGCTATCAGCTTTGGGAGCCCCAGCCTCAGAGCTGCAGGGATTCCCTGTCACAAGGGGTCTCGGGGTGGGCTGTGCCCAGCTCCTGGTCAGCTCCTCACCTTGGAGGGGAGCATGAGCTGTGCTCAGCTGCTGTGTGGTCCCAGAGGGAACGTGGATTGCTCAGGAAGYGCTGTGCCTTGGCTTGCAAAACAAAGCTTGCTCAGGATTTCTGTTCTGTTGGTTTTGAGCCAACTTGGACCGAAGCCAGATCTTGAAGGAACGTTTCCTGCTGCTCCCAGATCCTTCCGGGCTGTGGGAGCCACYCGCTCCAGCCTCTTCAGCGTGCACTGGGACTGGGCTGTGGGATGGGGATTCCAGGGCTGTGAGGGGTCCCAGGAGCTGCCTGGGGCTCCCCCAGTGTCACCTGTGGCCCACCCTGTGCYGTGCTGATCCCACACACTTCGTGCTGCTCCTAGCACTGTTGAAGCAGGACAGGACCTATGGGGGTCACCTCAGTGTTTTCTGGGATCACCTCACAGAGCTGTGGTTCCCCTTCAGAACAGATTTTCTCTTTGTCTTTAGTCTCCCCAGGGCTGTCCTGGCRGTGTTTGTTACAAAGTATTTACAAGTGCCTGGCCCTGTGAAACCATAAAACAATCTCATAACCTGACGATGCTCCTACACAGCCTCTTTCACAGAAGGAAGCAACAGGGACCCATAAATCCATTATCTGTGCTGGGAGCTCATCAGGAGCTGCTGATTGTGCAGGGAATGCCATGCTGAGCCAGGTGCTGGAGCTGAGGGTGATTGTAGCTGTCAGCATGGCCTGTCTGCCACCCTGGGGCTGATTGCAATTTTTGGGGTTGCAACTCAGCAGTATCCCTTTCCCTGCTCTGGCTGCCTGATTCCACTGGCCCTCCCTGGCTGTTCATCTTTGGACTCGAGGGATCCCAGGAAAGGAGCAGACTCCCTGAGCAGTTCTGTGCTTTTTCTTTGCCTATGCCACAATCTCGACCTTCGTAAGACAGTGGAGAAGCTGGGCTCTGGCCTGGCTTTCTGAGAAGGAGCTCCTCCTGGAGAGCAGTGTCCTGCCCAGTGGGGGTCCCTGCTGCCTTCTGGGGTCCTTTGGGGGACACATTRCTGCTGTGACCTGGCTTTTGGCCCTGGGAGGGATCAGACCTCACTGGAYGTGTCAGTGGGATGGGTTGCATCTGGCTGCTCCAGGGGCTGCCCTATGCCCAGAGGGTGGGTGGGTGTCATCTAGATGGGGTACAGGTGGTAAACGGGGCTTTGGGTCTCCCCCTGCCAAGGACCTTGGCCACTCTCTCACTCTCGGAGCAGCTGAGGAGGGAACAGGGGTAGATTTGTGTCCCTTGGGGAAATGCTGAGTTCTCACACATATGGCCAGCACTGTGACTGCTGCTAGGCCAGTACCAGACCCTCAGCCTTTCGTTCCCTCCATCCCTTCCTCTCTGGCAGGTCCACCACATCCTGCAGGAGATGGTGATCGGTGGGATGGTGCTGGAGACCAATATGAATGAGATTGTGGCGCAGGTGGAGGCCCAGAGCAAGCTGGAGAAGGCAGAGGTGAGCGGTGAGGCTGTGGCTGTGTCCCACAGGAGCTGTGACAGACCCTGTGCTGCGGGGGGGGGGTGGCCCATGGGGTCTGGGGTAGCCATGTGGGGGCTATGCAGGGTATTCCCARTCTCTGCCTGCCTGAGCCTTTGGGATGGGGCTGGGGACCTCCCTGCCCAGTGGTGCTGTTCAGAGTGCAGGGAGCTGCCAGAGCATGGAAGCGGTTATTCTGCCAAGGTTAATGACCTCGGGCTGTAAAAGCTTTATTGTCCTGTTTGCACTCTCACTGGGAAGATGCAGCTGTRGAGCAGGGGGCAGTGGTCACGGTCTCTCTGTCCCCAGGGAGGCCTCTCAGCTGCTCCTTCCCGYGCTGTGTCGGCCGTGAAGAACATCAACCTGCCCGAGATCCCCCGCAACATCAACATCGGGGACATCAACATCAAAGTGCCCAATCTGTCGCAGTTCATGTGAGCAGCCCAAAGTGGGGGCTGCCCACTAAGCAGAGCTGGGGTCCCCAGCTCCTCCCGTGGCTCTGCCCATGTGGCACAYGGGAGCCGGTGGTGCCAGTGTGCCCAGGCTGGTCGAGGCTAGGGAATAGTGATGGGGCTTAGAGAACAGGGTGGGGGGGTCCATCACCCTGGACCTGGGCTCAGTTCTGCTCTCTGGTCCCCCAGCAAGGAGGATGCCTTTCCTTCCCCTCCCTCCCGGCAGACATGCAGCCTCTCCTTGTGGGGAAGAGCTGGCTCCTGCCTCTCCCGAGATTCTTGGGATTCCCAGTGGTGAAAATGTGTCTGTAGTGATCAGGAGCTGCAGGTTGTCTCCTCCATCCTCCCAGCCCTGGCTGTCCCTTGCCCTGGTCCTGCTCTCTGTGATGGGCCCCAGCTGGGTGGGGGTCACTCATGGGAGCTGCTATGTGCCCTGGGGACGGTGCGAGTGGGACCTGCTGGAGTGGGGATGTGGCAGTGAGAGGGATGGGAGCTGAGTGATGTGGGGGACGGGCAGGTGGTGGCTTGCAGGGTCAGAACGGGCTGGGTCTGCTGGAGTGTGTCCCTGTGTCCCAATAAACCACTCGAACCTGTGTCTGTGTCTGCTGTGGGTATTGCTGGGTGGGAGGGGGCCAGGGGCTCTGTGCAGCTTTCCTGGGGCAGCTGCAGCCCCTCTTGGCTGGTGGAGGCCCTGGGGTGGGAAAGGGGRCCCTGGGTGCCCCAGAGGAGAGCAGGGTGCTTAGGGCAGGGTGCTAAGCTGCACCCTGTTCTCCTGGAGCAGGTGCGGGGAGGGCGATGGCCCTGCTCAGGCCATGACGGCAGTGTCCCCAGCTTTGGGCCTTTGGTGGCAGGTCACCCCGTGCCAGTTCCTGCCCTCTCCCTGCTGCAGAGCTCCTGGGCAGGGCACCCATGAGCTCTGACAGCTCTGTGGATGTGCAGGAGCTGTGGGGCTGGGGTCCCCTGATGCTGGGGAGGAGCAGGGCTGGTCCTGGGGGTCACAGTGACCCTGAGGGGCTTTGTCAGACACGTGCCCCACGCCCCTGGCTACACCGCAGCTCCATCTGGCTACCAGCCCTTGGGGCTGGCCAGGGGCCCTTCCTCTGCTCCCCAGCTGTGCTCAGGGTCCTGCCTTCACTTCCCCTGGCAGGGAAACCGTGACTCTGCCTGGAAGGAATTTCCCCTCCCTGCAGCTTAACCCTTCCCCAGCTGGCCACTAGCCACATCAGTGCTCCTGGAGGTCAGGGAGCTGGGCAACCTGCTCAGTCCTCTTCTCTGCTGGCCCTCCTCCACCTCCTCCTCCTCCTCCACCTCCTCCTCTTGTAGGTGTCGGCGAAGGGTGCAGGTGAGCCATGGCGCCCGGGCCGTGTCGTGGGGCTGGGACTCGGGGTCTGGCAGCACTGAGACGGTCGGAGGGGAACACTCTGGCTCACGCCACGGTGAGGGAATTGGAGAGGTGCCGGCAACCTGCTCTGGCCAGGCCGGGGGTACGWGGGATCAGCTGCCACGGGCAGTGCCTGTGTCCGGCCCCACACCACAGCACCCTACTGCCGCTGCAGGGTGTGTCCGGCCACATGTGCTTCCTCTGCACCTCCCGTGTGGGCTCTGCTGAGGGCACCGGCCCCTTTGCCCCGTCCCCCGGCCTGCCCCAGCCTCAGCCCTCAGCTCTGCAGCTCTYCCGGCTGGGGACCGGGACCATGCTGGGCCGGGGAAGCCCCTCTGCCACTCCCGGCTGTTGCCTCTTCCCAAGCCTTGGTTCCCCCTGGATGAGCCGGGGTGAAGCCCCTGCCCGCCATTTTCCCCGGGCCCGGTGGCGGTGCGTTGTGCCCGGCGCTGGCAGTGACCCCGCGCTGTGCCCACAGGGGTTGCGCTGGCAGTGACCCYGCGCTGTGCCCACAGRGGTTGCKCTGGCTGGGTCACCAGACCACTCCCACAGCCCAGGGTGAGTCGGGGAATGCACCGTGTACAGGGCTGTAAAGGGCAGGGACTGGGTGGGGGCTCAGCGCTCCCGCTCCGAGCCGCCTGCATGGGCCGGAGATGGAGATGGGGCTGGATCCTGAGRGTGGCTCCTGGCCCCCAGCCCATTGCCCGCCCCAGCTGGGCTGTGCCGGGGTATCCATGGGTGCCGGGCTTTGCTGGGCTCAGCTCTGCCTGCCGAGCCCCCTCCCCAGCGCCCTTTCCCCTCAGAACGGCCTCCTCGCCCTGTCCCAGTGTGGGGGGGCCCGTGCCGGGGGTTCTGTCCCAGCGCTGCCCCTCGGGCTGTGCCCCCCGCCCCGCCGGCCGGCAGACATGMGGTTAAGGGGGCGAGAGCTCCGGGTTCCTGGAGCGTTGGAGGAAACTTTCCTCCCCCTGGAGCTGAGAGCGCGGAGCTGAGACGGACAGTTGGGCAGGCAGGAGGACAGGCAGGGGGCAGGAAGCGGGAACAGGGCGGGCAGGACCCCGCTGCCCCTGGCTGAGCACGGGAAGGTGAGCGGGGTACGCTGCTGCTGAGCACACTCCGGGGGGGTTCACACCCTAGGTCGGGGGTCCGCGGGGAGCGCTGGAGTGGATCGAGCTTGGAAGGGGGATGTGGTGATGTGTGGGAAGCGGCGGGAGCTGTGGGCTCTGGGGCTACCAGTGGGGTTTGCATGCMTGGGGGTTATGGAGCTCATATGCAATGGGAGGACTTGGGGGGTCTGTGGGGGTGCATGACAGTGTGGAGGACCCTGGGGGATTGCCAGGCTGTGCGGTGTGTGAGGACAGAGCCTCGAGGGACACGGYAGTTGGCTTGGGTGATGCCCAACATCTCTGCTGCTTGTGGAACGTGGGATAGGYGTGTGCTGCTGGCTGGGCTCCAGAGAGGGGGCTTCTGAGGGTGGGGATAGAATCCTGCAGGCACTGGGGTAGTGGGGGTGTGGGTGCCGTGTCTAGCCCCAGTGTTGCCCTCCATTAACTCCAGCCAGCCCCCTCCCTAGTCGAACCAGCGGGAGATGCCTGTGTGCTGTGCCCKGGGGGCTGTGGGGAGGGTCAGCAGGCTCTTTAGTGTGGGATGGAGGGTGTGCAGAGTGCCTGGCCAGCCAGCTGTGGCCCTTGGTCCTGTGGGGGACTGTCCCCAAAGCTGTAGCCTTTGACCAGAGCCAGGGTGGGGATGGCTGTGCCAAACAGGGAACGTCAGGGACACGGGCAGCATCTGGAGTGATTTGTGCCAGGCACAGTGTTCCTGGCAGATGCAGCTGGGTGCTGTCAGGGTCAGGGCAGGGCTCCCTGAGGACACCACTCACCTCATCTTGGTTTGCCCTTTGCCCCAGCTGTGGCTCCTGGCAAAACCTGCCCGTGTCTCCCTATGGAAAAATCGATCGGATCTTGGGAACAGGAGATTCTATTCTCAGTGTGTGACATGATGTGTCACCTCCCCAATCCACCCTGGGTGGGGACCTCACACGTGCCCTTTGGGGCTGGGCTCACCAGGACGGAGTTTGACCCCGGTGCCTCCGGGTTCATGACCCTGGACTTTGAGTGGGCAGGGTGAGCTCCTCCCGGATCCTTTCCCATTACCCACCACTGCCAGACCCCTGTGCTGCACCCCACGCCTCCTACATTCCTCTTGCAGGCAGGGGCAGCCTGGACCCTCTGACAGTAGCTCAGACCCTGTCACACGAGGGTAAACAAGGTGACACTGAGACTGCRTCTGGGCTTGGCTGATGGGGACACACACTGGGCCCTGCAACATGGTGGGGATGTGGCTGCTGGCTGCGACCACCCACTCTGTCCCTCCTTTTGCAGGGCCAGGCCAGTGCTGGGGCAGGACGCCGGGGGTCCAGGCCCACAGCCCCTGCACGCTCCCTGATGGTGTGACCCACCCTCCCACAGCCAGGTCTGCCCCTGCAGCAGCGGCGCTGGGCATTGGTGCTCCTGCCAGGCTGGGGAGGGYGTGGGGGGAAAGCTCATCCCAGGGTCTGTCACCGCCCTAAGCCCCATGGCCATTTAATCRTTCACCCATTAACTTGGACTAATAAACCTAGTGGCAGTGAGAGGCTAAAAGCCCTGCCTGYGCCAGTGCCGCCTCCGCCTGCGCCACTCCTGCTGCCCACCATGGCAGCCGGCTTTTTCATCAGCAAGACTGTGGGCATCGTGGCCATCGTGCTGGGCCTGGGGGCTGTGGCCACCATCATCGCACTCTCGGTGGTGTATGCCCAGGAAAAGAACAAGGGGACATCGGATGTGGGCGGYACGGCTGAGCCCAGCACCACCGCCACCACCGCCGCCCCCAACAACCCATGGAACCGGTGGAGGTTGCCGGGCACGCTGAGGCCAGAGAGCTACGAGGTGTCCCTGCAGCCCTTCCTGAARCCCGATGCCAACAACATGTACATCTTCAAGGGCAACAGCAACGTYACCTTCGTCTGTGTGGAAGCCACCGACCTCATCCTCATCCACAGCAACAAGCTGAAYTACACCATGCAGGGCTCCTTCCATGCCACGTTGCATGCGGAGGATGGTGGCAGTGTCCCCGCCATCTCCCGCACCTGGCTGGAGACCCCCACCCAGTACCTGGTGGTGCAGCTGGCCTCCCCCCTGCAGCAGGGCCAGCGCTACCGGCTATCCAGCAGCTTCACTGGGGAGCTGGCTGACGATCTGGCTGGCTTCTACCGCAGCGAGTACATGGACGAGTCAGGCAACAAGTAGGTGGAGGGCAGGGGACAGAGTGGAGGCCACAAGGCTGGGTGATGTGGTGTTGGGGTGGGGGATGGGGGCACAGGGGGGGGATGAGGGCAGGGGACAGAGTGGAGGCCACAAGGCTGGGTGATGTGGTGTTGGGGTGGGGGATGGGGGCACAGGGGCGGTGGAGCGCATGGGCTGGCTCTGGAGCTCCTCTCCCACCAGGACAGTGGGATGGGTTTGTCGAGCCTYGGTGCTCCCCTTACTCCCTCATGGTGCCACAGTGGGGATGGGAGCAGGGGGACCGGGGGCTGCAGCCTCTGCAGGGACCCCCAGGACTGATGGGTTGGCTCACAGGCAGGTGGTGGCCACCACGCAGATGCAGGCAGCTGATGCACGCAAAGCTTTCCCATGCTTCGACGAGCCAGCCATGAAAGCCAACTTCACAGTGACACTGATCCACCCCTCTGACTATAAGGCCATTTCCAACATGCCTGCCAAGGGTGAGTGGGGTGAGGGAACTCTTTTGCAAGGCTGGGGGCCTGGCAGGGCTGTGGGGTGACCCTCTGATCTCCACAGGCACCAGGCAGGAGATGATCAATGGGGAGAYCTGGAATGTAACTGAGTTTGACACCACACCCAGGATGTCCACATACCTTGTGGCTTTCATTGTCAGCCAGTTCAGCTTCAGGCAGAGCATGTCGGACAAGACACTGGTAGGATKGGCTGGGGTGCACTCCCCGTCTGCCTGGGTGGCTGAGCCTGGGCTGCTGATGAAKCCTGCATCCCTCCTCTCCAGATTCGCATCTGGGGCCGCCCGAAGGCCATCGACGAGGGCCAGGGCGGTTACGCACTCAACGTCACTGGCGACATCCTCAACTTCTTTGAGATGCATTACAACACGGCCTACCCGCTCCCCAAGTCTGGTAGGTGCTGTGGGGCACTCAGGGCACAGCGTTGAGGTGCCAGCTGCAGGGGGGGTACCCTGTCAGCAGGGTACTCACTGGTGAGACCACTCCATCCCCAGACCAGGTTGGCCTCCCTGATTTCAATGCGGGTGCCATGGAGAACTGGGGGCTGGTGACCTACCGGGAGAACTCGCTGCTCTTTGATCCTGAATACTCCTCCATTGGCAACAAGGAGCGGGTGGTGACTGTCATTGCCCACGAACTGGCGCACCAGGTACCTGCTGCACCCCTCGCCCACTGCCCTGACTGAGGGATGGCAGCTGAAGGGGTGCTATGCCCTCTGCAGTGGTTTGGGAATTTGGTGACGCTGCGGTGGTGGAACGACCTGTGGCTGAACGAGGGCTTCGCTTCCTACGTGGAGTATCTGGGCGCTCACTGGGTTGAATCCTCCTGGAATATCGTGAGTGCCAGGAATGATGGACAGGGGGGGAGGCAGGGGAACAGGCACCCCAGGCACTGCCCTGGTGCTGAGGGGTGCACACAGGGCTGAGGTGGGTGCTGTTGTTCCCACTGCAGAAAGACCTGATGGTGCTGAACGAGCTGCATGCAGTGATGGCGACAGATGCCCTGGCCAGTTCCCATCCACTCTCCTTCCGCGAGGAAGAGATCAATACCCCGGCCCAGATCAGTGAGGTCTTTGACAGCATCGCCTACAGCAAGGTGTGCACAGGGGTCCCTGGGGTGGGGATGGGCTGTGGGGTGTCCCTGGGTTTCCTGACCTGCTGTCCCTGCAGGGAGCATCGGTGCTGCGGATGCTCTCCGAATTCCTCACCGATGAAATCTTCAAGCAAGGGCTGCAGGTGAGATGCTGCTAATGCTGGGGGGCAGCAAGCCCGGTGCAGGGTGGTTATCCCATGGTAGGGGTCTTCTCGGGTGCTCTAGGGGTGCCCCACACCCCAGACTTGCCCCTGCCCATCCATCTCTCCTATTGCTCTCCCACAGTCCTACCTCCACACCTTCGCCTACAGCAACACCATCTACGCTGACCTCTGGGTCCATCTGCAAGAGGTAGGAGGCATTGGTAGGAGCCCTGGCTCCCCCTGGGGGKCTGCCTGATGTGATGGGGTCCCACACACTGGGGAGAGTTGCAGCACTGGCCAAGCCCCACTCTGCCCATGCCCCTGCCCCTGGTGACTGGCAGCACTGCCATCCCTGCAGGCGGTGGAGAAGAACAATGTCRAGCTGCCTGACAGCGTCAGCAACATCATGGATCGCTGGACGCTGCAGATGGGCTTCCCTGTGGTCACTGTCAACACCCTCACTGGCACCATCAACCAGACCCACTTTCTGCTGGACCCCACATCCCACGTGGACAGACCCTCCATCTTCAAGTGRGTGTGGTGGGGGCTGGCTGGGAACTGGGGGGTCAGGGGATGAGGGCCGGTYCCACCACCTGTCTATCCCTGGCACAGCTACACCTGGATCATCCCCGTCACCTGGATGACAGGCAGTGGCACTGTGAACAAMTATTGGCTGACCAATGTCACAGGTAAGGTGTGTCCTGGCTGTGAGTGGGGGTGTTGCTGCCACCTCCAATGCCCTGGCACAGGTCGGGGTTCCCAGGGGGGCAGTGGTGGGGGCTGAGCCTGGGCCTCCCTGGTGAGTGGGGATGCAGCTCTGGCAGAGCCTCCTGTCCCTTTCCCAGACACCAATGACCAGTTCAAGATCAACAGCCCTGCCTGGCTCCTGCTGAACCTCAATGTCACTGGGTACTTCCGTGTCAATTAYAACCAGGAAAACTGGAATCAGCTTCTCAACCAGCTTGGCACTGACCACGAGGTACATGGGGCAGTCAAGGCTGTGGCGTGGGACTYCACTCCACACACCTCATATCCCGTCTAGGCTGCCTTGAGATGCTGACTTTGCTCTCTCAGGTCATCCCTGTGATCAACCGTGCCCAGATCATCGATGATGCCTTTAACCTTGCCAGGTGAGCCCTGCCAAGTAYTGGGGTGAGGGGCTGGTTGGCATGGGTCCCCTGGGGTGGGCAGTACCAGTGGGGCTGGAGAGATGACACTGCCCTCACCCCTGACAGGGCCAAATACATCAACGTGACCTTGGCCCTGAGCACGACACGCTTCCTGAGTCGGGAGACAGCCTACATGCCCTGGCAGGCAGCGCTCAAAAATCTGCAGTACTTCCAGCTGATGTTTGACCGCAGTGAGGTGTTTGGGCCCATGTCGGTGAGTGGTGCCACCCCRCTGTGCTGGGGCTGAAGGGGTCAGGGCTGTTACCACAGGGCCACTGGGCACTGTCTCCCTCTTGCCCCCAGGAATATGTGAGGAAGCAGGTGATGCCTCTCTTCAAGCATTACGAAAACACCACCAATAACTGGCAAAATGTCCCGGTTGGCCTGCTGGACCAGTGAGTACCATGGCCCTGGGGCTACGCTGGATCCTGGGGGTCTTGCCAACTGCACTGGGGAGAGGGCACAGCGCTGGCATGGCATTGCCTCCAGCCAGCACCAGCTGGTGCGTGCTCCGTGCCGGGCCCCAGTCCTCACAGCCTCTCTGCCCCCAGGTACAACGAGGTCAATGCCATCCAGACCGCCTGCTCCTACGGCATCACCGAGTGCCATCAGTTGGCTGCCAAATACTTGAACGAGTGGCAGCAAAATCCCGCCAGAAACCCGTGAGTCCTCAGGAGCCCTGGGTACTGTGTGTTGTGGCTGGGCATRGTGAGGGGCTCCTGGCACCTGATGGCTCTTACTCCTGCAGGGTCCACCCGAACCTGCGCTCAGCCATCTACTGCAGCATGGTGGCCACGGGTGGGGAGGACRTCTGGAATTTTCTCTGGGAAAAGTTCCAGAATGCTACTGTGGTGTCTGAGGCCGATAAGCTCCGCACAGCCCTCTCCTGCAGCACCCAGACCTGGATCCTCAAGAGGTGCGTGGGGAGTCTGGCTGGCACCGTGGTGTGTCCCCACCAGCCCTGTGTGTGTCACCCCATCACCCACATCATGCCTGCCTGCCCCTCACCCCCATCATGCCCCTCCAGGTACCTGGAGTACACCCTCGACCCCACAAAGATCCGGAAGCAGGATGCCACCTCCACAATCAACAGCATTGCCAGCAATGTTGTGGGGCAGCCCCTGGCCTGGGACTTCATCCGTGGCAACTGGAGGACGCTCTTCAGCCAGTGAGCACGGCGGSGGCTGGGGGCACCCCTGTCTGCCACACCCCTTTGGGGTGGCACTGTCCCTTCCCCCGTCCCCTTGCCTATAGCTCTGCAGGACCCCTGGCTCAGCACACTTCTGCTTTCCCAGGTATGGGGGCGGCTCCTTCTCTTTCTCCAAACTGATTTTGTCCGTGACCCAGCGCTTTTCTACAGAGTTTGAGCTGCAGCAGGTGAGTCTGGATCCTGGCAGCTGCCCTTTGCCAGTAGCCCTTGAGAGTGGGTTTCCTGCCCCTTGTGTTCCCAGGGGTCCAAGGGGCTTGTGTCCTTGTCACAGGCTGCTGGGGGCCTGCTGGGATGGTGCCAGGGACTCCCAGGGGCTCTCAGAGGGCTCATGGGAGCTGCTGGGGTGCTGCATGGGCTGCTGAGATGGTGCTGGGGGCCTTCCAAAGGCAGGGTGCTACTGGGGCTGTCAGGATGATGTAGGGGCTGCTAGAATGGTGCTGGGGGCTGTTGGGCTTCTGCCAGGGAGCAGCTGAGAGCTGCTGCAGTGGTGCTGGAGTGCTCACAGGGATTTTCAGGGGCTATTGGGGTGTTCCTGGGTGGTGTCGAGTAGCGCTGGGATCTGCCAAAGACGGCCGGGCCCACCCCCTGCCTGCATCTCTGCCCGGCAGCTGGAGCAGTTCAAGAAGGACAACCAGGACATCGGCTTTGGGTCGGGGACGCGGGCGCTGGAGCAGGCACTGGAGCGGACCCGTGCCAACATCAACTGGGTGAAGGAGAACCAGGCAACGGTGCTGGAGTGGTTCAATGCCGAGAGGAGCTAACAGGCACCTGCACTGCCCTGGCCAGCAGGATGGACCCTTGTCCACTCCAGACTCCACTCACTCCATCCTCGTGACCCCCAGGCCCCTGCCCCCTGAATGCCGCACTGCCAGGGAGGGGCCTGATGCCTCTGGATTGTGGGCACTGGGAAAGTGGGGACTTGGGAGGGGGGAGGGCAGGCTGATGCAGCTCTGGGGGTGTAAATAAAAACAGTTTCCAGGGACTCCCAGCGTACTGGGGGCCATGCTGTCGGGACTGAGACAAACTGGGCAGGAAGCACCAGGGACCCTGCAGCAGGCAGGGCTGGGGTAGGGCGCAGGGCTGTGAGCCCCCCCCCCCGGGCTGTTAGGAGCCTGGTGCTAAGTGGCTCTGGGGGCTTTGCTGACGCCAGCCCCTGGCCCCTCTGTCTGACAGCTGCGTGTGAGCTCTCCTGCTGGGCCGCACTCCAGGGGCTCCCTGCAGACTGGCACCAGGACCCCTCTGCCTGCCCCTGCTCTGGGCAGGTGCTGCAGGGTCGGGGTAGGGACCACGGGGGTGGCTGTGACAGGTAGGAGGGACKGTCCCTCATGGGCTACCCTGGACCCCGAAGGGGTGGAGCTGTCTTTGGGTACAGGGAAGGGACAGGACTCCCCTGCAGGTGGGAGCTGGGGATACTCCAGGTAGTGGGTGCCTCTGCCATCCTAGCCCTGGGACACATCTGGGTTAGGCCGGGAGTGGACACTGAGCCCCTGGCTGGGGGCAGCACCTGGCTCTGTGTGCGKGGTGCCAGGCTGAGGGGTGTCCCCGACCCTGCCCATGCTGGGGTGCAGCCAGCAGGTCCCACAGTGAGGAGAAGGGGTACAGTGCTGCATGGCGACTTTAATGAAGACCCTGGTGTCTGTCCCATCCTGTGCAGCTCTGCGGCATGGCCATGCCACCCGTCCACTGCCGTGACACTGTCCCACTGTCCCACTGCCCCACTGCTCCACTGCCCCACTTCCCCACTGCCCCACTGCCCCACTGCCATGCCACCGTGTCTGTGTGGTCTCTGTGTCCAGAGGTGCAGATCAGCTCCGGTCCCCACAGTGCTGTAGAGGGGTGCAGCTGGGCAGGAGAGAGGCTGTGGCAGGAGCTGGGAAGATGAGCCTGTCTGGGGCCGAGAGACTGCTGAGCTGTGTGGGAAGAGCTGTATGAGGTGAGTGGCTGTGGGGCACCCCACCTCACACCCCCTCCCATCCACCCCACAAAGCTCATCGTCCTCCCCAGCCCAGGAGCAGGGGCTGGGCTGGGGAAGGTCTTTGGTACCTGGTGGTGTGCAGGCAGCTGGGAGACACGGAYGGGGGTTCTGGGGTGTCCTGTGTCCATCAGTTGTGTCCCGGGGTGCTCCAAGCAGCGGGAGGAAGCCATCCTATTACCCGTGGCTGTGGCACGTCTGTGGGGAGGCTCCAGGGCGGTGCAGCTGGGAATCCTCTGAAGCTCTGGGAGGRTCCCTGTCACAGGCATGTAGGGGGCTGRCCCCCAGGTCCCTAGCCCCATCTCCGGACACCCAAGCATCTCTGGGGGAGTGCCCGCAGCAGGGCTGCACAGAGGTGACCYCCAGGCCCCCGTCCCCATGCCGGGAGCCCCGTGCAGCTCCGGGGGTGTCCCCGCCACGGGTGGTGASCCCCAGCCCGCAGCGCCAGGGAGCGAAGCGTCACGGGGCTCCGCGTCCTGGCAGCAGCCCAGGCCCCGGGGGCACAGGGGACAGTGTCGGGGGGCCGCTGTCCCCCGGCCGAGCCCCAGCAGGGCGGACAGGTGGGCGATGTAGCGGGTGGCGAGGCGCAGGGTCTCGATCTTGGTGAGGCTCTGGCCGGCGGGCGCCAGCGCGGGCGGCAGGTAGTGCCGCAGCCGCAGCAGGGCCTGCGCCAGCCGCCGCATCCGCAGCTTCTCCCGCTCGCTGGCGCTYTGCCGCGGCACCCCCGCTCCCCCGCCGCCCCGCGCCCGCTGCCGGCCCCGAGGGGGACGCAGCGACGCACCGGGGGACGCTGCCGAAGGGGCTGGGGATGTGGTGTTGTGTCTGGCCATGGTTGGGAGCTGTTCTGCTGGCCACCTCTGGGGGTAACCCCGGCTTTATTTGGGCCGGGGGTGCGGGACGATACCTCTGCGCCCATCTGGAGATGTCGAACCACCCCAGCCTCCCCCCGCTCCGGGCGGGCGGCAGGAGCCTGGGAATACCGGGCCCATTTGCAGAGGTGTCAGATCTGACTCCTTTGGTCCTTAATTGGCCCTGCCGGCGCTGGGAAGTGTGTGCGGACCCATTCACACGGCCGTGAGAGATGCTAACGTGCCGCCAGCCCCTCATCGCGCCGCATCACCGCACCGCATCCCCCTGCACCGCACCTCCCCGCACAGCGACTCTGCCGGCTGCAGCCAGCACCCGGGACTTGACCTCCAAACGCCGGGACCCCGAGCTGCCAGGGCTGGCACCCAGCGGGGTCCCCACAGCTCTCTGTCCTCTGTCCAGCTCCCAGCCCCGCGTCCGGGGGTGCTGTGTGGTCTTTGGCTCAGACTGACGCCCCTAAGGGGCAGGAGGTGCAGGGAGTGCAGGGTGCTTGGATGGGAGGCTGAGGTGCTCCCTTCCCAGAGGCATCCCTGCCAGAGCTGTTTCTGTCTCCCCAATCTGATGGGATGCAGCTCCAGATGGCTCCAGATAAGCTGAGGCACCAGGGAACCCAGCAGGCTGTGCCCCTACTTGGGCTGGGGGTCTCTGCAATGCTGCAGGTTGGGGTCCCCAGGGCACTTGGGGTGCACCGTGGTGGGTGCCAATCTCTTGAGGGTGCTGGAGCCAGGGGACCCCCCGTTCAGGTGGGCTGAGGGGGAGGGGGCTGCTGTTTGCCAGGTGCTTGGTAGCACTGATCCTTGCACCAGACACAGCCCTGGGCATTATCCCTGTGACCTGTGCCCATCCCACACCGAGGGACAAGCATGACCACCGTAAACCACACGGGCGTCTGACCTGGGATGTGCTGGAGCACGGATGGTGGGTCCCAGGCGGGCAGGGACATGTGCTGGGAGGGTCCCAGCAGAGCCAGGGACCCCTCAGCAGAAGGGCTGGGGGCTCCTGGGGGCACAGCCTGAGCTAGGCAGCGACTGAACTCTGTTGTGGTGCCCTGGCCGTGTTGCCCCATGGCCCTGCACCCTGCTCCATTGTTACAGGGGCTGAAGGGATGGGGGACATACCCAGTTGAGGGGCTGTGGGGTATCCTGCTGTCACCGAAAGTCGGGAATAAAACCTTCTAACACTGTAAGTTCAGTATTAGAAAGCAGCATTATTTTATTTCAGGGGTGTGCAGGGGATAACTCCTCCTACTGCACACACTGCAGTGGGCTGACAGACTAGCTTAAAACTTTGTAACTTATTTATTACATTTCCCAAAACTCACACATGTATGCTAAACATCCATGCAAATTCTTTTGAATATTTATAACACTTTTCAGAGATTATTTACGGAAGAGTAGGGGTCTTTTTGAGGATCTCTGGTGGTTGTTTGGGGAATGTCCCATTCCTCAAATTATCAGGTTTTGGTTGTAGGCCTTCAAAAATTCTCTTTGAATACATCCCAGCTCTGTGGTCTGGCCAAGATACATCTTCTTATCAGCGTTGCTCAGGCCCACAATCTTTAAAGCTAAGATAACCACTTGCACACATTAATACAGGACTGAACACTGTTGGCTGGAGCTAAAAGAGTTCACCAGACTTAAACGCTATTTGTTACAATTAAAGATTTTCCCAACACTGTGGGGGCTCTGACCCCATGGCTGGTGCTGCCCCAGCCCAGCCGCGCTCCAGCACTTGTCCAAACAGGGAGGTGGCAAGCGGCTGTGGCGGGTGCAGAACTCATTACCCGGGAGCTCATCAGCTAATGAGACCCAGGAGGGGGCCGGGCAGTGAGGATGGGGCTGTGCCCAGGCTGAGCCGTGGGGTGCAGATGTCCCATCAGAGACACCCCTGTACCCCAGACTGGGGCTGGGTGTTGGAATGGGGGTGGCACTAGTGCCCCTGGATTGCTTGGATCGGTGCTGGGCACTGCTCAGATGTACCGTGTACACACGGTTTGGGGGTCCTGTGCCCCAGCTGCACCCCCTCAGCTGTGCCTCCCTGCTTTGTAGAGATTCTGTGCCCCTCATGTTCCCCTGGGCTTTGCACGCCCGGTTTGGGGGGTCCTGCACCCCGCTGTACCATCGGTCTGTGCACACCCGGTTCGGGGGTCCTGTGCTCCCAGCTGTACCCCCAAGCTGGGCTGTACACAGCCGGTCTAGGGGCCCGTGCCCTGCCATGGCTGTGTCCCCTCGCTCCCTGATGGATTTTCCGTCCCTCGGCGGGGCCGTTTCCCGGGAAACCTTCGCACCCGCCGGCCCCAACACCTGCGGGGCCTGGGAACGCGGCGGGAGGGCTCCTCCCAGCCCGGACCCTGCACCTCGCACACGCCGCCCGTGGGGTTTTCTGTGCCGCTGCTAGCACCGGGCAGCCCCGCGGGCTCCGAGCTCATGGGGGCGGTGGGGGACCGTCACCCCCAAACCGGGTGGACAAAACCGGGGTCCCACAAATCCACAGGGGCAGACCCCGGCTGGGGTCATGCTGTAGGGTAAGACACAGGGACACACTGCTGTAGACACACCGCAAACGCCACTGAAGCCCCATCAGAGCCCCAAAACACCCCCACATTGCAGACCCTGCCGCAGTCCCAGTGCAGCTCCCCCCAGCAGACCTACTGAGACCTCACTGCAGCTCCCGTGTGGGTCCCAGCCCCGTCCCCAAACCCAGCGCGGCAGCGAGGGGCAGCACCGAGAACCTTCACACCTCTGGGGTGAAATTCGTCACCCCGTGTTCACAGCCGCGGCACCCGACCCCCCCCAGCCCCCCGGCCTTTGAAGTGCTGCTCCTGCAGCCACGAAGGTGCCTCTTCACACCTCCGGCCCGGCATAAAGCCGGGGCAGCCGGGAGCCACCGACACACAGCTCCCAGCCCTGCCATGGCTCACTCGGCAGCCCACGGCCACACGCTGCCCGCCGCGGCCCCGCTGCAGCACTGGGGTGACGGCGGACCTCCGGACCCCCTCGGCTACAGCAGCAGCTCGCCCGCAGCATCACCCGACTCGTGCGGCCTCGCGTCCCCCGCCGCTGCTCGGGGACCCTGCCGCGGGCACACCGCCCCCCGCCCCAGGGGCCGGCAGCGGGCRCGGGGCGGCGGGGGAGSGGGGGTGCCGCGGCAGAGCGCCAGCGAGCGGGAGAAGCTGCGGATGCGGCGGCTGGCGCAGGCCCTGCTGCGGCTGCGGCACTACCTGCCGCCCGCGCTGGCGCCCGCCGG